GCTTGGGAGGGTGGAGGGATGGCACAAGAGGGGAAGACCCTCTATGAGGTGGATTGATTCAGTGACTGGGGTAATCGGGATGGGTGTGTCAGAGGCAGTGAGATTGGCACAGGACAGAGCAGGGTTTAGGGCTGTTGTGCATAGGGTCGCTATGAGTCACAAGTGACTCGACAACAACAACTTTTTTCTGAAGTGCTTGCTGCAGAGGGTCAGGGACTGCAGCCTCCAATATGGATTGAGACTCAATGTCAAGAAGACAAAAAGTCTCACCACTGTACCAATTGGCAGCATCAGGATGGATGGTGAAAGGATTGAGATTGTTCACAGCTTTAGTTTGCTTGGCTCCACAGTCAACACTCTCGGCACCAGTAGCCAGGAAATTGAAAGATGTATTGCGAGGGGAAAGTCTGCTGTTAGGGACCTCTCCAAAGTACTGAAGAGCAATGGTGTCTTTCTGGACACTAAGGTGCGTCTGATAGCGGTCATGGTCTTTGCAATCACTTGTTATGCATCAGAGAGTTGGACAATGACCAAGGAGCATAGAAGGAGAATTGACGCCTTTGAGCTATGGTGCTGGAGAAGAGTATTGAGAATACTATGGACTACTAGGAAAACAAACAGATTCATCCTGGAAAGGGTTAAACCAGGTCGCTCCTTGAAGGCAAGGATTCTGAGGCTCCGTCTAACATACTTTGGACATGATGTAAGGAGGGACTGGTCCTTGGAGAGGCATCATGCTTGGTAGGGTGGATGGACAGTGCAGGAGGGGAAGGCCCTCTATGAGGTGGATGGATTCAGTGACTGGGGTAATCGGAATGGGTGTGTCAGAGACAGTGTGATTGGCACAGTACAGAGCAGAGTTTAGGGCTGTTGTACATAGAGTCGCTATGAGTCGCAAGGGACTCGACAGCACATAACAACAACAAGAACACTTTTTTCCTATTTGGAGTGTAACTTTTAAAAAAAAAACCACAATATTTAATATACATTGTGACTCATTAAAAAATAAATTAACTGTTGGTCTTTATGATAAACATATCATGACATGAATAGAGAAAATAGTTAAAATAAGAATGCAATTTAAACAAATTGTAATTTTAACATGTGGAACTATAGTCACCTATCCATAATATAACATCCTTAGATGGTAGAAAGAATTTAGAAAGAATTTGAATGTTAAATTAAAGGTTAATAGTTCCGGTACATTCATTGACATCACAGAGGGAAGCTTTTATTATCTTCTACCATAAAGATTATAATGATGAAAATTCTGTGGGGTAATTACGTTACACATGAATTTGGAACAATTCAAATTTGATTTGAGGCTGAAAGCAGACAGTACCAGAGAAATGTCTATCTGTTTTTCATCTACAATGCAAAGTCATTTGACTGTGTGGATCGCAATAAACTGTGGCTAACTCTGAGAAGAATGGGAATCACAGAACACTTGATTTTGCTTATGCAAAACCTGTATTTGGACCAGGAGACAATCGTAAGAACAGGGCAAGAATACACTGCATGTTTCAAAATTGAGAAGGGTGTATGCCAAGGATGTATCCTACCTCCATATTTTTTCAATCTATATGCAGAAAAGATTATTAAGGAGGTGAGGTTCTATGAGGAGGAATGTGGCATCAGGATTGGAGGAAGACTCATCAGCAACTTTTGTTATACAGATGACACAATCCTGCTCACTGAAACTGAGGAGGGCCTGAAGCGCTTGATGAAGAAGGTCAAGGACTACAGGCTTCAATGTGGATTGAAACTCAACATCAAGACAACAAAGATTCTCACCACTGCACCAATTGACATCATGATAGACAATGAAGAGATTGAGATTGTTAACAGCTTCAGTTTGGTTGGCTCCACAATCAACACTCTTGGTACCAGCAGCCAGAAAATCAAATATGAATTGCATTGGGCAAGTCTGCTGTCAGGGACCTCTCCAGAGTACAATGAAGTCATTCTGGAGACTAAGATGAACCCAATCCAGGCCATAGTCTTTGTAATTACTTACTATATGTCAGAAAGCAATGACTAGGGATGAAAGAACGAGAATTGATGCCTTTGAGCTGTGGTGCTGGAGAAGTGTATTGCATATACCATGAACTGCTAAGAGAACAAACAATTTCGTCTTGAAAAAGGTGAATCCAAATCTCTTCTTGGAGACAAGGATTCTGAAGCTTCGTCTGACATACTGTAGGCATGTTGCAAGGAGTGACCAGTCCTTTGAGAGGGACAGTGCAAGTGAGGAAAACCCTCAATGATATAGATTGATTCAGTGACTGCGGTATGAGGGCGGGTGTGTCAGAGACAATAAGGTTGGCTCAAGATAGAGCAGGGTTCAGAGTTGCAAGTGACTTGACAGCATATAACAACAACAACAATTAATGATTTATCATAAAATAATTTCCAAGATGTTAAATGCTTTTACATGAATATAGTGTAATAAATGAAGTAAACTATTAAAATTATAGAGGAAAATGCAGTTTATATATTTTCATATGCATTCAATTGCTATCATAAGTGCTATTATTTTCATGTTAGATGTGAATGCTTTTCTTTTTAACCAATTTAAATGTTTCCTTATATCTGCAGATGGAGACACGGAAACGTCTGGCTAAAATTGTGCTAGTTTTTGTGGGCTGCTTTGTCTTCTGTTGGTTCCCAAATCACATTCTGTACATGTACCGGTCTTTCAACTATAAGGAGATTGACCCATCTCTTGGCCACATGATTGTCACCTTGGTTGCTCGAGTTCTGAGCTTTTGCAATTCTTGTGTCAATCCATTTGCTCTTTATCTACTGAGTGAAAGCTTCAGGAGGCATTTCAACAGCCAGCTTTGCTGTGGGAGGAAGTCCTATCAAGAGAGATCAACCAGCTACTTACTCAGTTCTTCAGCAGTTCGGATGACGTCTCTGAAAAGTAATGCTAAGAACATGATGACCAATTCTGTTTTAATAAATGGGCACAGTATGAAGCAGGAAATAGCACTGTGATTTTGGTTATTTGACTCACTACTTAGAAAGGAATTACTATTTTATCCCTGTTGAGCACAGGAGACTGAAACAATTTTCCCATTCTTACTTCAGCTTAGCCACTTGATAAGATTACTTCATGATTAACTCAGAAAAGGCAAGGGAAATATAGCTAGCTTTTTCTATGAAGAGGGCATTAAATTTCAGTATTTCTTACATTAAAAATGATCTAAAAATCAGCCTACATTATGTACAAATCAATATTGCTTCAGGATTTAGGCTGTTATAAGAGCTAATTCTAATATATTTATGTTTAATTGGCTTTATCTGAAGCAGAAAATAAATTCTAATAACGACTAAATTATTCATTGAGGGCTTATTCAAGCTCTTATTATTTGAAATACAAATAATTTATTCCCTGATGAATTTCTGTCATAGTTATATTTGAATAAAATAGTAGAAAATTCAAAAGATACACCATAATCCAAAGCAAATAATGGATATTGTCATTCTTTGTGTGATTAATTAAATGATAAGGAATCATTTCTGTTTGTGACTTGTAAGTATATATAGAAAATTATTTGATGATATTTGTGTTGTGAAGTCACTTAGAATATACTTATGAATGTAAAAAAAGGTAACGTGTCTCCAACAGAAAACTAGGACACAAGAATGAATTTGATTCTCTGTATGGATTGCTGTCTATTTGATTGATTCTGCATGAAGATGAAATTTGTGTAGTTCTGTGAGCTCAACTATCTACTCATCCTTTTTAACAGTATTCATCTGACAAGAGTGTGGTACATCACTTGGGAAATTTTACTCTGCGTGACACTATAGCCTTATCTGAATCATCATCTTGATTTTCTTTACCAAACCAGTATATTCTTGACAAAAATGATAAAGCTACTCCCTCAAGCTTGTACTATCAAGTCTAATAAAAGTTAAATCTATTTATTTTATACTTTCAAAAATTGTTGAGCAAAAGAGGTAAATTAAATTTTGTTTAGTGAGTTCAAGTGAAAAACTTGATCATTGAGTTAGACACTAAGTGCGTTCTTAAATATACATAGGTGATACATAGGTGATAAGATGTGTAATATTCACTCATAACCACATGCTGTTAGGAGGCAACGAACAATAGACATGAACCTGGCCCTACCATGCACCGTCCTAGTGAGTTCTGTCATACTCAAGCCCATTGTGGTAGTTACAGTGTCCGTCCCCTCACTGAGGGTCTTATTCTTTTACGGGTTCTCTATGTTACCCAGCATTCTGATCTTCCTCCTGAAAATATGCCCAATGTAAGCGAGACAAAGTTTCACCATCCTTGTGCCTATGGAACTCTCTAGTGCACTTCTTTCAAGACAGATTTGTTCAATTTTTTTTTTTTGTGCGTGATCTATGGTGTGTTTAGTACTCTTCACTAACACTGTAATTCAATGGTATCAATTCTTCTATTATTTTTGTTTATTGCCCCATTTTCAGATGCATAAAGAAATACCTGAAAGTACCATGGCTTAGGTCAGGCACACTTTGGCTTTTAAACTGACATCCTTCCTTTTTAACACCTTTTTAGGTCCTTGACAGCAGATTTCTTCCTACAATTCTTTTGATTTCTTGACTGCTCCCACCAGAGATGTTGATGTTGGATCCAAGAAAAAGGAAATTATTGACATCTTCAATAATGTCTCTGTCTACCATGATGTTGTCTGTTGGTTCAGTGGTGAAGAGTTTGATTTTATGGATGATGAGATGTGGTCTGTATTGAAAGCTGATCTTCTGCAACAAGTGCTTCAGATCTTCTTCACTTTCTACAATTAAGGTTGTGATGTTTTCATAACACATGTTGATGTTGAGTCTTTCTCCAATCTTGATGCTACATTCTTCTTTATATAGTCAACTTCTCAAACTCTTTGCTCTGCATAAAGATTAAGTAGATATAGAGAAAGGATAAAACCTTGAAGCACATCTTTATTACTTTTAGTCCATGTAGTGTTTGCTTGCTGTGTTTTGACAACTACTTCTTGTTTTACATAGAGATTTCACATGAGCACAATTAAGTGTTCTGGGATTCCCATTATTCTCAATGTTAGAAATAATTTGTTATGATTCACAAATGTATAGTAGCAGTTAAATACGTTAGCATAATCAGTGAAACACAAGAAAACAACTTCTTGGTATGTTCTCCTTTCAGCCAAGATTTATCTGACATCATTGTATTATGGCCTTTTCTGGATCCAGGTTAAATTTCTGGCAGTTCACTGTGGACGTACTGCTCCAGTCGTTTTTACATAATCTTCAGCAAGATTTTACTTGCATGAGATATTAAGGATGCTGTTGTTGTGTACCACCGAGTCAAAACCTTCTCATAGTTCACCCACCAGCAGTTTTCAGACGTAATTAACTATATGGAAAGATATTGCCCACCTTTCTTTCACAGAGCAAGTGGTGGGTTTGAACCATGTGTCCTTGGGATGGCAGTGTCACTTCTTATCACTAGGCCACCAAAGCTCCCTGATTTTAATGATAATGGTTGATTCTTTGTGTAGTCTGTTGCGTCATTTCTTTTTGGAGTAGGAACAAATACGCATCTCTTACAGTCAGTTTGGGTAGTTGTTTCATAGTTGTTGACAGAAACACAGTTGTTGACAGGATGTATGTTAAGTACATCCACATTTGCATCTGCTTCCTGAAACACATCAATTGGTATTCTATCAGTTCCTGGGGCTTTAGTTTTTGCTAATGCCTTCAGTGCAGCTTGAATTTTTTCCTTCAGTACTATTAATTCTTCATCATACGCTACTTCTTGAAATGGTTCAGTATCAGACAATGCTATCGGTACAGTGACCTTGTGAATTCCTTCCATCTTCTTTTGATGCTTCCTGCACCAGTCAAGATTTTGACCACATAAACCTTCAGTATTACACTTCAAGATTTGAATTTATTTTTACATGTATTGCAGTTTGACAATGGATAAGTATATCCTTCCTTTGTGATTTTCTAACTTTGGTTCCTTGCACGTATCATTGTACTTTCTTTTGTATTTTTGAGCTGCCCTTTGAAACTTTCTGGTCAGCTCTCTTTACTTCCCCTCATTTTGGTTTCTTTTTGTTCTGGTGGAAGTTTCAGAGTGTCTTCTGACAACCATTTTTTTGTCTTTTCTTTCATTCTCTTTGTACGTTGAGAAACACTTTTTTAATTGGTTTGCATACAATAATTTGTTTCTATTGTGTTTCATTCACGTACATTTGTTTTCCACCTTTTTCCTCCACTCACCAAATTCTATGACCCTGATGATTTCCCCCTCCTTACTCCCAGCCCTGCCTCTTTAGGATATCCATGTATATCTTCCTGGTTAACCATCTGTTTTAACAATAATGGTCTTAAAAAGTATTTGTTCTTATGCACCTGAGATAGTTCATTCAGCATAACGATGCTTTCTTCATAGATGATGTCCTTGATATTATCCTATGGTTCGTCTTCTTTCATCAGTCATTAATCATCCGTGTCCAGTGAATCAAATCTATTCTTATGATAGTTTAAAAATTCAATTAGGATACACTCAAAGTAATATATAGGTTCTTGTAGATTTGTTTTCATTTTCTTCATTTTTAATTTGAACTTGCATATGAATAGTTGATTGTATGTTCCACAGTTAGCCCCTGGACTGTTTTGTTTATAGAGAACTTGGATTTCCATTCATTCATCATTGCACATTTTCCTCATCCCTCCCAGTTTACTTTAATCTTTGAAAAAAGTTCTTTTATTGTTGCACAATTTCTTCCACCTCCCCACCACCCCTGTCCAGTTCACTTTGCTATGTAGCTCTCATTCTGGACGGTTGTCATACAAATGATACCTAATCATATATTACTTTTAAACAGTTCTTTCCCTCATCTGTTCCTGGCCTGGTTTTGACTGCTGAAATTGAGCTTCTGAAACATCTCTTTCTGTAGATATAGCCAACAAAATTCCTGTGTAGTACATCACAAAAGCATAAGAAAAAAACTTGTTGTTACATGCTGTCGAGTCACCTGAGACTCATAGCAACCCTATGAACAATAGCCCTAAACCCTGCTCTATCGTATGCCAATCGTTTTGCTCTGACACACCCCCACACATTACCTCAGTTACTGATTTAATACATCTCATAGATGGCCTTTTTCTCTTACATTGTCTGTTCACCCTCCCAAGCAAGATGTCCCTCTCCAAGGACTGGTCCCTCCTTTCAACATGTCCAAAGTATGTCAGACGAAGCTTCCAGATCCTTTCCTCCAAGGAACAGCCTGGTTTCACCCTCTCCAGGACAAATCTGTTTGTTTTCTTAGAAGTCCATGGTACATTCAATACTCTTCTTCAACACCACAGTTCAAAGGCATCAATTCTCCCTCTATCCTCCCTAGTCATTGTCCAGTTTTCTGACACATAGCAAGTAATTACAAAGACTATGGCCTGGATCTGGTGCACCTTAGTCTCCAGACTGATATCATTGCTCTTCAGTACTTTGGAGATATCTCTGACAGCAGACTTTCCCAATGCAATTAACTCTTTAATCTTCTGGCTTCTGGTCCCAAGCATTTTGATGGTCCCAAACTAAAGCTTTTAACTATCTCAATCTCTTCACCATTTATCATGATGCTGCCAATTAGCCTAGTAGTTTTCTTGATGTTGAGCTTCAATCCATACTGAAGGCTGTAGTCCTTGACCTTTTGCAGCAAATGCTTCAGATCCTCCTAAGTTTCAGCAAGCAGGGTTGTGTCATCTGCATAATGCAGATTGGTGATGAATCTTTCTTCAATCCTAATGCCATATTTCTCCCAGTTCATCTGTTCAGCCTATAGATTGAAAAGGTACAGAGACAGGACACACCTGTGGGGTACACCTCTCCCAATTTTGAATAATGCAGTGTCCCCTTGCTCTGTTCTGATGACTGCCTTCTAAAGTGCCTGTGACATGTGGATAGGAGAAAGGTGAGAAATCTCATGTATAATTTATAACTTAGGAAAACCACTGGAGGG